TCGTTCACTACTGAACTCTACACTACTTTAAAAAACTCTAACTGAATGTACAAGAGGTCACTACACTCAAGGACTTAAAAGATACTATATGAATGAATCCTTTTCTATGTTAAAAACAGACACCAAAATTCATTCCCTACATTCGTCACTTTTCGCTCCGAGCAGCCGTCATTTTATGTTCCGAACATCCTATATTTTTCGTTCCGAACATCGCGTATTTTTTGTTCCGAATATCGGATATTTTTCGTTCAGAACATCTGCACGGTTTTCATCCCGAACATCCGGAAACACGATATTATGCTCTAAAATCGATTCCGAACATTCGTTTATTTGTCCGGATGTTCGGAAGAGCGAGGACGAAAAGGGATGCACCCGAATGAAATAAAACATGACCCACATTCACACTCCACACCCACATCCACACCCATAACCGATATATAGATATATCTCGTTTGAGATTTTCCTCACAAGATGGTCGATTAGAAATATAACTTTAAAAAATTGTTAAACTGATTATTTATCGTGGGTGTTGGTGTGGGGTGAATATTGACGCTGGTACTGTTATTGAATTGACTAATCTCCACATCCACATTGGATAAGTATGATCGTCCTTAGATATGTAGTTCTCGAAAGTCTTGGATGCGTGACACTACTAGAATTAGAATATCGAATAAAATGTAGTTTTATTTGATTTAGTCTATTGCTTTTCAAGTGAAATGCTTCTTGATTTTTATCAATTATCAAATTGTCTGTTTCAATCTTGATTGTTACAGGTTCATTGATTGCTTCGGAAAAAGTAGCGTCTTATCGTCGTGATAATTTTGAGAATCAATGGGGCTAAAGTTCTTAAGGTTACAATAAGTCCACCATAGAGACTGAAAAATGTCGTTGCCACATATATGACATTGAGTGAAGTCGTGTAAATATATGTGCACGATAATGGTTCACATGCAGAAAAAAAAGCTTCGTAAGAAATGTTAGTGGACCACTCTTCAACGAACAGTTGTTGAAGGATCATTTCCACAGTTGTGTTTCGTGAAAATCGACTACTACTGTTCGTTTCTAAAGCAGTTACGTGAATCACTGTTCTTGGTCGAAGCAATTGGGCTACTAGATCCACACACATTTGGGAATATATACATTCAAGTGTCGATTGAAGAAGAGCCTCGAGTGGAAAGCAGTCCATGCGAAAGCCAGGAACTTCATACATAAATGTTTTATTCCACGAATAAATAAAAGCCGACGAAGAACATTTATATGACATGGCGCATGAACAATTATCATAAGAAATTGGATAAGTGAAGACAGTTGCATCCGGTTCTGCCTTGTTGACAATGTAGCTATGTGAAATTTGAAATCAGATATATATATAAGGAAACTGTGATATCACTTACTCCCAATTACTTGCGTACACTGTCATAAAGGCATTACCATGTGTCGTACGTCGAATAAGTTCTAATGTACTAATAAATGCGCTTGGTGTCTCAAGCTGAAAAGTATTTATTGTTGAACGCATTTGTGCATCAAAGATAGTTGCAGATATCACATTAGCAGTTATAAATTCACTTGTAGCAAAGTCTTGCAGTGCTCTAACCACAGTTTGTTCTGCTAATTCACAAAAACTTTGAAGCAATTGAAATTGGCCAGTCGCTTGAACGCGAAAATCTTCGTAAATTTTCATGCTAGAATATAAACGTGTAAGATTAAACTTTAAACGAACATGCTCAGAACAATCAGAAAAATTTTTGATTTTGATTTCGATTCTCATGAAATTACAATTTGAGCAACGATGGAAACATTGCGAATATATATGTCGGAAGCTACTCTTACATTCTGAAATAAACTAGTTCACACTTGGAACTATATTAAAAATTTCAGTCTAATCTTAGACTTGCCTAGATTAACCTACACAATAGGACATGTAATAGTTGAGACTACGTCTCACTTTTATGTGTTAATTCTATATGTGCCATGGTAAAACAATGTGTAAATATTAACTACACAAAGGATAGGTTTTTTTGCTTTTCATACATTACCAAAACACGAAATTTTATGGCCAAATGTCGAGAAGAAATGTCAGTTATTTATATAAGAGTTCATGCGAGAATCTATTCTGAGGTCCAACCGAAAAGAGTACTATTTTCCTCTACGAATATTTTACTGAATGCATTCTATTTCGTCGCTATAGGCAATTCAAAGCTTTTTTTTCTCAGGTCATTACCGAAGATAGTATGCTAAAGATATTAAATTCAATCTAGTTCTATGAAAGCCGTTTGTTACAGTATCCTATACATTCTTCTTGAAGACTATTAATAGCGAAGCAAAAGTAAAATTTATATGTACTACGACTTTATCTCTTAAGAAAAAAACATTCTCTTCTCAAGCATTAGTCTTAAGACTTACAATAGTGGATCGTATGAAAGGATCAAGCGTCTTTCATTGATTGATTTGTTATGAGTAAATTCAGGATTTTAAAAAAAGTTATTGTATTGATCCAAATCGCATTAAATCTATAAGTTTCAATTGTATCTGCTATGGTTTTCTTAGAATTAAAACAAGGCTATGGGTGTGGATGCGTGAGAATAAGTGATTATGTGGTTAGAAAAATTTTTTCCATCCATTACATCAGCCATACCCAAATCCTCACTAAAATTTTTAGATTATTCTAATGCATTATGCTTACTTAGACTGAGGAAAAACCATAGCAATCCATTGTTTTGAAATGAATGCACTTGAGCAGACTTGATGAAATGATGGATAGAGTTCAATGAATCGTCCGTATGGAATGCTTACGTGTGAGCATGGACACGTCAGTTCATCCGAAAAACGACTTTGAAGTTCTTTATAAATAGTGATCGTTGGAAATTCAATTGTACGTGTATTGTGTTGGTGAGATAGTGATGTGATAATAATTAAGACAAGAACACTAACACAAAGTAGAACGACATATAACCGACTGGTATAACGCTGTTCACGTATGCGATTTTCATCGTCGTCAACACGATCCGGAAATAGATTGAATGTTGTAATTTTGTTTCTGACGATAGTGAACCAATAACGAAGTCGTCGACGTCTACCAATAGGAACCGTGCCACTTTCGACTGATGTTACACGATTTACTGGTAACATTACCACAGGAATTAATAATGCAATAAAAATTCGAAATGTTATATTCAACCCACCAATCAGGCTAAAAAGTGTTATGATAATGTAGAACAAACTAGGCCGGTGCATATAGGAATATGTGCATGTTGAAGGTGCACATGCAAAGTAGTATGAAGAATAAGATATATTGGAATGCCAGTTTTCCACAAACAGATTTTCTACTAAAACATCTACTGCTGAAGTGAAATTAAAACGAGTAGGTTCTGTTGAATTCAGTACGCTTATGTTTGCATTTGGTAAGTATGTAAGTATTTGATTTAAACATGTCTCGTTATAAAAGCATTCCAGTGAAGAGAGTAGCAGCGAATCGAGAGGAAAGCATCCAAATACGACACCAGGAATATAAAAAAGTGCATTCTGAACTAGCACATTAGGATCGTAATTGAAAATTCCGATAGGTTCGGTACAATGACTATCGATCGCACACCAACATAGTGTCTGATTAGCAGTAACGACGTATGTCGGAATGATATCAACTTGCTTACTGTCAGTCACATTCAAAAAGAAATTATTGAGAGTGCTAGAAAGTAGTTGATTGCCTTGTGTTATAGCCTGTAGAAGTCGAAGTTGTCTACCAAATGTGTCTATTACTCCATTCGTAAATGTGTTTATAAGAGATTGTGCTCGTGGTAACAATATTATAGATGGTATAGACTGTGCACTTATTAATTGGGTACTATTAAATAAAGTTATTGCATCGAAAACTGTTCTATTTGCAAGCTGACAGAATGTAGCAAGCAACTGAAATAGGCCGACGGCAGTAATGCGAAAGTCTGTGTAATATAGATAAAATATATTCTGTAATACTTCTCCGAGCAATCGGAGCCATGCGAGTGAGATCAATTCACTTGAACATACTTGATGAAAAGTTGGTTCAATGTGTATGAAAATGTTGTAATCAATAGTTAAACGAGAGCAAGGGCATGAAAGTGAATATGGATAATGTGCATAGATATATTCATATTGCATTAGAGAAGGATTATACACAGTTTTAGTGTGTGTTTGTACGGAGACTCCGATGTATAACATCATAACGATTGTACTCCCACAGAACAAGGCAAGGTATAACCATGTGAAGTAGCGGCCTATGCGAATTCGATGTTCACTCTCAGTGGGATGGTAAAACAAGTTCAGATGCATGATATATTTCAAGAACGCCCGTGGTAGCTTTTTGAGCCGATCTCGCCAAAGTAAACCTAGAACACGGAGATCATATGAAGAAAAAGAAGAGTAAGAATCTTTCTCTTTGGATTACTTTGTTCTGTTGTCGTCGATGGCCGAGGCTGTTTTCTTCTCATAATGAAATAAACAATTTTTGGTACGAAAAAACGAAAAATGGTCACAAGGCCTCCATATAGGCAAAAGAGATTGATGATAACTTGAAGCATTGTCTTTCGTGTCTTCAAAGTATACGTGCAGTAAAGAGGCTCACAGGCAGCAAAAAATGTACTATAAATAACTGAAATCATTTGGTGATCAATAAATAAGTTCTGAATGAGCTTCTCAATACTTGTGTTTAATGACCAAGACGATGAGTTCGAGTCAAGTGCAAGTATTTTCTTGACAGGAAAATGACGAATAAACTTATCAAGACAAGACTGTTTGAAAAAACACTCGAGGGTAGAGCTGAGGAGGGATTCAAGTGGAACACAACTGCTCACCAACCCTTCAAATGAGTCAATAATCATCGAGATATTAAATGAAGTCGCATAATCTCCATACGTATTACCAGGATCTGTCTCTTGATAGATGGCCGCTTGACTTCGACACTGAAATGTAGTTGAGCAATAGCAAGGTAATCCATCGGCAGATTGAGGAAGAATATTCATTTCAATAGCAGCCCATAGATCACCAGCAGTATTTGCAGCGAATAAAATTGTAGAAGCATCGGTTTTCCACCCCGATACGAGTAGGTTGCCAACTGATGTCTCACGAATAAGTTTCAAAGTACGATCGAGTGTCGTTGAAATTTGAATTCGAAAATTATCAACTAAATCATTGACTTGAGTTTGAAGAATAATAGACGAGATGACTTCTCGAGTAATTAATTGAGTGTTTGACATCTCGTTAAGACTATTGACCAAGGTAATATTTGAGAAATCACACAGTAAACCAATAAGTTGTAATTGAGCGCTGAATGAACTTCGAATATCCATAGGAAGATAATAACTGGCGTTTTTATTGAACAAACCATCAATCCATGTCTTTGAGACTAATTCACTGTTACAAATCGGATGAAACTGAGTTTCAAATTTAATAAATAGTCCATACGGTATACTAAGACGAGAGCATGGGCATAAAAGTGAATTGGAATGTTCAATGGACAAACGTTCGTAGTCCGTTAGAGTCGGCATCTGAACAGTTACTATTTCATTTACCGTATCCATTGAAGTATAAATGACGAGAGATAATATTACCGAATAAAGTAAAACAATATAAATTCTTGTCGACCATAACTTTTCGTTTTCCATCAAATGATCAAAAGAATGAGTTTTAAATAAATTAAGTGTGACAATAAATGTGCGAGCACGTCGCATTTGTTGTAGTAGAATCATCTTATGTTTTTAATTTTTTCAAAAAAATGATATTACAATCTGAAGTAAAGTCTAGAGAGAGTAGTTTTGAATTACGACTATTGTAATAACAAGAAGCTTCGACAAGCATGCGATCATCATTAATTAATTCATTTGCATGGTATGGTTGTAGGTGTGACTGTAATTCTGAAGTATCGACTGTACTCATATCTACAGCTCACACCTCAACCCATATGTTTTTGAATAAAAAATAGTTTAAATTCCTCTCCATATAGTTTACAGATAGAAAAAAACTCAGTGAATTTCGATTGTTTGATTTGTCAAAAAAATGCCCTTTAAAGGGTGTAGGTGTGGGTGGGTGTGACTGCGGGTGTGAATATCAGTGGCAGAAAAAGACACCCACACCTGCACCCACATCCACGCCCAATCTTTATACTTCTATTCTTGTTATAATCTTTAGTGCTTATATGATTATTTGTTTTTATGAGAAACAGCAAAGAGAAAAGAATGTAGAAAAATAAAATATGGTATACATAATAAACGAGAAACACGTTTATTAGGCATAATTGTCTTGATGCTCACGAGGGAAGGTCACCAACTGTTCAATCACTTTTGAGTCGAAACTATGTGCATCATGTAGGTCCTAATGAGCTATGAATACCTGGAAGAGAGTTCGATTCGCTAGCTTATTACTGTCGAGATACTGCATTTTTACAATATCGTTAAGCAGAATGTCATGATCCCCTTCAGGAGCAACAGCAAAACTGAGTTTTGAATTTCGACTTGAAATTTGGCACAGAAACAGACCTCAACGAGAATAGCTTATTGTGAAAGTTTCAGATCTTTTGTTTGTTTCTATTCTGAAATACGAACATCGAAACCTGTCGAGGGTATATGAGCAGTGTAAAAACACCCCTTTTTAGCTGTATCTTAGGATAGGAACAACCAAAAGATCTGAAACTTTCACAATAAACTACTCTCAATGAGGCCTGTTTCTGTGCAAAGTTTCAAGTCAAAACTCGAAACTCAGTTTTTCTGGTTCTTGAGGAGAACCACAGCATCGTGCTTAATTAAAAATACCACAAAAGTGCAGTATCTCGACAATAATAAGGTAGTGGTCCGAACTCTTTTCAGGATATTCATAGCTTATTAGGACCTACATGATGCACATAGTTCCGACTTAAAGTGATTGAACAATTGGTGACCATCCCTCGTAAGATAGTTCTACCTTAATGGATTAATTATCTATGTAATTAAGAAAATTATTATATGATCATTGTGAACAAGGATCATTTAGTAAAAGGTAAATTATAAAATAACCTGTTTGAAATATATTACGTTCTCGGAGAAAAAGAGTCACTTGAACATACGATCAAACTATATTTCCTTAAAACGAGATCTAATATTGTAATTTTTTTAACAAAAAGATGATGTTAAAAATAGAGTAGAAGAATAACATAAATATTTATGTCTTTATGAAAGATTTCTTAATAAATATCATCTCATAATATTGCTTTATTTATTGTCAATGATTGTTTCTAGTTAAACAACAAAAGCATAGTAATTCAAATAGCATGTTCGAAATGTTCATTACAGAGAAAAATTCGACGAAACTGTGTGTTAAAATCATTTTACTTTTATTCCATATGAGATCGGTTTCAAAACTTGAATATAACTAGAAAACACATGTTTTTATTCGATATAAATATGTTTACCTTTGGAGAATTTTTCCCGACAAATGTAGTTTAATGAATAAGAGCTCACTCAAGCTACTTTGTGTGATTAAAAACATAGGTTTTCTTCTTTTTTTTTTCTCTTGGATGTCAACCATCCGAAATGAGCAAACATTACCTTATTATCATTAAAATATCAGGAAACCATTGACGTAATAAACTATTTCTAGGTATTACTTTTTTCAATTTGATAAGAGTAGAAGCTTTTTGCATTATGGATCTCGTAGAAAGACGTTTAATATTGTAAAATGTAGTTGCATCGCTGAGAAAAACATTTCTTTTTCTTCTAATTTCTTAATGAACGAAAGAGTTTTTTTATAACATCATATTGATATAAGAAAAATCTCTTGATTAAACCAATATTCCAAATGAACATAAACATGTTCAGATTCATCTTTTCAACATCAATCCTACTAGAATTTCATTTCGTTTTACTAAATCTAGTGAAAATGTTTAGATAAACATTTATGCTTTCCTAAAACAAACTGTGAGATATACATTTTTATCATTTAATTAAAGATAAAAACTAGTACTAAATAAAGAAAAGTAGACAGACATTTTATTTTTAGCTAGATTATGAAATTTCACCATTGCTAGTATCTTTTCAACAACATTCATGTTAATGAAATTATTTTTTTTTTTTCATTCTTCGATGTTCAGATAATTCTACAAACACCTATATCCTTTATTAGTGAGTAGGCCAACTGGATTCAAGTACACAAGTTTAGTAATATAGAAGGAATATATCTTCTTTTTTAATTTTAAGTCTTATAGTTGAATTTTGAATATAGTTAAGAGGGTGGCTGGATGTGGATATAGATGTGGGTGTTTCTCTTCTCTATTCAGACTCACACCCACACCTTAGTTTTCAAAATTTCAAGAGATTTCAATCGACTTTCAAAGCTTTTATGATCTCATGAGGTTTCAGAACTAAAATCTCTGCCGTTTCTTCCATGTTCTGTAGGTTATCCAAATATATGAATATATGACTACTGATACAGTCATTATTTATGTTGCAATATTGTGACCAGACTGTCGAAATATCTCTTGTGCAATGCTTATCGTACTGTCGATAAAAGGGAACAATGCATCATGAGAAAAACGAATACATTTCGTCTTAATGTCACAATCACTGATTAACTCACTTCTTATCAGCTATCACAGTATCCAATCATTGATAAACTCGACCCACTCTTTAATTTTGTTTTCTCATTCATTGAAATCAAACAAAGTCGAACTTCCAAGAGCATGTTTTTTTTCAGAAATTGATCAATGAATCGTTTTGTCAGAATTATCCCAAACGAAAGAAATGTTAGATGGATAGTCCGCAGGAATAAGGAACAGAAACATGTGCTGACAATGAGATGAATGAAGTAACAAACAAACAGCTCGGTCAGTGATAGACTATCTGGACGAAGCAAGGGTATGGGTGTGAGTGAGTGTGAGTGTTGTTCTTTTCTTCGGTCACACCCACACCCACACCCTAACACATATTATGATCAGCACCGTCCGTTACCGACATACATTAGAAGTATGTAGTAATTTAAAAATTGATACATATGTTTCTGAATCCTCTTATTTACAAAATAAGGAGTTCCATTGCGTTTCACATTTTAAGGTCCTCCCCTCCACCCTAAAGTTCCCCTCTCCACTCTATTGCTGTTTTTAGTTTTGGATCATCCAACCTTAATGAAGTTTTCAGAGGAGGTGTATCCTGTGCTGGGTATCTCACAATAAAAATTCCAGCTCGATACATTGAGTCTACGAAGAGTTAGCTTAAGATTATGGGTGCATCCGTATTTTCTAAATTTCTCTGCCATTTCAAACGCTAGAAAAGTCGGGCTGGTTTTAAAACGTAGGTCGGGTCCGGCGCTACAACTTAACAGGATCCGATTTTTCTTTGTGTTGAAGTTTTATTTTTTTGTTTAACCTCCTCTTATAAGAGATGACAAGAGTAGAACGTATTTTTGTCATCTCTTATAAGACAAATTTAAACGAAAAAATAAAACTCCAAAACAAGGAAAAATCATATCCTGTTAAGTTGTAGCATCGAATTCAGGCTACATTTTAAAACCAACCCGACTTTTCTAGCGTTTGAAATAGCAGAGAAATTTGGAAAACACGGATACCCCTATAATCTTAAGCTAACTCTTCCTAGACTCAATGTATCGAGCTGAAATTTTTACTGTGAGATACCCGGCACAGAATACACCTCCTCTGGAAGTTTCAACAAGATTGGGTGATCCAAGACAAAAGTAAATTTTAGGGTGGGGGAGGGCTTAATCTCGCAAGGATTGCACTAACAGCTTTTTTAAGAGAGGATTTATGAGACCATCGATCAAGTTTGCATACGATTTTTTTTTGTTGTGAAATGAGTTATGCCGTTCGCAAGTTCATGGAAAGTTATGCTCGACACCAAATTTTTAGTTCTTTGTGGAAATCTTATCAGAAAGCATGAAAAGGTCTTTGAACTTATCTTCAAGTGTTATCGTACAAATTTTCAAACGTTTTGATGAACTGTAGACAATTCTCTATTTAACACTTTATAAACACATAATATCATTGAAAATCCTTCTTTATCAGTATTAATTAATGTATCTGAATCATATCTGTTAGATACAGTATGATAGAAGAAGATTTTTAAATAGAGATCATGTTTAAAAAGTCTTTTATATATTATTTTTTCATTTAAAAATTGCGCAAAAATACTCTTTTTTATGAAAGGTTTGCGACCTTGAAAGGAAATTTTAAAATTGCATCTATATTATCCTTCATGTTGTCATCTTAAATTTGATGTTAATTAGAAAGAAAGAAAAAATATTAGAAAAAGCCATGGTAGGAATCTCCTTTGTGTTCAAAGGTTAAATAACATTCCTCACATCTCATCTT